GTAATGTACCTTATTTTCCTTGGTTCCCCACATCAGCTGAACAGGTATCCTTCCTCATCCGTCAATATTCCCCTCTGTGCCCACCATACACAGTGCAGTATGTTGAATTATTAGAGACCACAGATAGTGAATGGTATGTATGTGTGTGTGTGTACACACACACACACAAACAAACAAAGCATGGAGTGACTTCCTTTTATTTTTATCCTCTTCACCACTGATCATCTCATTAGCTGCTAGAGCGATCGGTCACTCTGTTACTTTTCTTTTTCTTTTATCCTCTTCACCAACGAGCCGATCATTCACGTCTCTGTTACGCACTGTTGGCAAGTACTGGGCATGCACCGACTTGAGGGTAGACTCACATTTTTAATACATTTTGTAGTCTTGTTTCTGATTATTTGTGAGAGGATTTTCCCTTTATTATTCATTTATGTGTTTTGTGTGTGTGTGTGTGTGTGTGTCTACACACATACAGTGTATACAATACAGGTAAAAGAAATAATTGTCCGAAGGGCAAACGCATAAAGGGAATACGTATACATTTCTTTGCACACGAGTAAAAATGTACCCCCTCTGGTCAGCAAATATTATTCAATGAATTGGCTATTTGCAGTCATTTTGAGAACCTAACCCCCTGTGAATTTTTTTAAGGGCATGCCTGTACCTAAATTACGAGCTTAAAAATAACCATAACATGGCTCTCTGGTGGGGAATGGTGTCGGTTGTACCGAGGTTTACTGTACAGTAATACCTGTTCTGTACATTAATGCATTTTGTAAGATATTATTGTAGAGATAATGAGTAATAATACATATTTTCCATGTATAACATTTAAGTCAATGGGTTAGTCGGCTTCGTTATTCGTCCTTTGGTTGTTAGTCGTAGCCATCAGGACCGCACCCTCGACAAACAATGAAAAAACTCTGTATATGGTGAGGAACCATATCCTTCTTGATCAGAAAGGAGCTATCAAAGTTGTAATCCTTTGGAATTACTTCATCTTTATAAGAGTAACAAGTGAGGTACGGTGTATTGATTCCAATCCAAGGAAAAAACTTTACCCCTACTGAACCTTACTGGGGGCTAGCTGAAGCAAAGTCTGGAAATTGATTATTATCTGACATTGCAAGATCAAACACAGTCTATTCTTGGAGAAAGAATCCATGGGAATACAGGTAATTCTACCTAATATTCGTTCAGATGGCTGAACTTTTCCACTGACAAAGCAATCTGCATTGACACTCGGTGTCCCATCAATAATGTATTCATGGGTGTGATAGAGCATGAGAATTCCTTGGCAAGATGAAATCTTTTCGAGATTATCCTCGATGGAAATAATCTGCAGGACAATTTCGTAATAAAGGTCTATGAAGAATACAATACTCCTCCCCTGCAGCTTAGTTCTTATCAACCTAAGGAAGGAAAGTGGAACCAAAAGCTTTTTCTAGTTATACATAAACATCTCTCGGCTAATTTTTGGAATTTGTCTCCAGAGAAGCATCGGCAATCTTAGAGACTACAGTACTATAGTTGATGTGAGTGTCCAATTTAGTTATGGGGGGCCTTATCAAGTACCACCACCATCAAGGGGCGCTACTCAGTCAAGTGTCCTTACTCGGAGCTGGCGGACGCTCGCCCCACAAGGGGTCACGGCTCAAGATTGAAAAAGCCACAAGTCCAGAAAACCGTGAGGGCAAACTTTTCCGGAGTGAGAGTTGTGAATTCTTGGAACAATCTACCAGAAAGTGTTGTGATGGCACTGAGTGTGAGCTCTTTCAAGACAAGACTTGACCAACACTGGAGCAGGTTCAGGTACATTCAGGAGCCGGTGAATGCCCAGTACTTCCCAACAGTGTGTAACAGAGACGTGACTGATCGCCCAAGCGTCTAACGAGCCGATCTTTTGGTGAAGAGGATAAAAGAACAGGAAAACTAATCAGAGATGTGACCGATCGCCCAAGCGGCTAACGAGCCAATCAGTGGTGAAGAGGATAAAAGTAAGTAAAAGTAACACAGCCCTACCATCAACATAATTCCACCATCACCATTAACACAATCCCAACATCAATACAACCCCACCATCAACACAATCCCACCATCCCCATCAACACAATCCCACCATCAACACAATCCCATCTTTACCATCAACACAATCCCATCTTTACCATCAACACAACCCCACCATCCCCATCAACACAACCCCACCATCCTACACAATCCAACCATCACTATCAACACAATCCCACCATCACCACCAACACACTCCCTCAACACATTCACCACCATTACCACTCTCCCTCAACACCATCACCACTCTCCCTTATCACCAACACCCCCAGCCACCATCAACACACTCCCCCACCACCATCAACACAACCCCTATCACCATTACCACTCTTCCCTTATCACCAACAACTCCCACCACCATCAACACACTCCCCCACCACCATCAACACACTCCCCCACCACCATCAACACAACCCCTATCACCATTACCACTCTTCCCCCACCACCATCACCACTCCTTTATCACCATCATTAACACTCCCCAACCACCATCATCAGAAACAATCTCCTCCACCATTACGAAACCACTGAATATCACCAACACTGTACCGCTACCAGTAACATACTCTCCTACTACTACAAACATTTTCCATCACTATCAACACGTCCCCCTTTCATTGCTGCTGTCATCAACTCTCCCCAACAGGGGCGGGTCCATGGGGGTCGGACCCCCCTTTTCATCAGAAAATTCCAATACCTTTATTTAATACAGAACAGTAGCCTATAGTACTCAGGCATTTTTGTATTGTAAAAAGTAATTACTTTTGACTTCAGAATATCTCGTGATATCAAGTGTACATGGCATCAAAATGTCTATGATATTGGTCAGATTTCACATAATTTTCTGAGGGGGGGGGGAGGGGGGGAACTAACAGCTGCCCATCCCCCCTTCCCCCCGTCCCGTCCTCCCCGAAAAAAAAACCCAGCTGGGTGTGCTCCCCATGTTCCCCCACCTAAAACTTCTTGGACCCCCTCCCCTTTTGATTTCCTCGGATCCGCCCACACACACCATATTTAAAAAGAATAAATGGCATGGATAGGTGTATGAATAATTATCTAATAATATATTTTATATTGACTTGTCATTAATACCAAATTCCCTCATTCGTATGAACATAGTATCTGAATTAATTTGTTACGAAGTGCTTCCCCGTTTGGAGTAGTCACTAGCCACCAGACCAGAGTGACCAGATTGGTGTCAACTCTCAGCACTACAGCACCTCAAGTTACCCAGGGATATTAGAACACTTGCAACTGCCAAGCTAATGCTATTGATGGGCAAGTGGTGACTTTATAGAAGTCTATAAACACTTCAGAAAGTGAGTCTCGGAGGACATTACTCAGTGAGTGTTTAATCTGGAGCTGGCAAACTTTTTCGGAGTGAGCTTTGTGAACTCTTGGAACAAGCGTTGTTTCTTCCTTGGTTGTGACGGCGCCAAGAACAGACTTGACCAACACTGATAAAGCTACATCCTGGAACCAGTGCATGCCTAGTACCTTACTAGTGCGTAACAGACGTAACCGACCGCCGAAGAGGATAACAAGCCGATCAGTGGCGAAGAGGATAAAGCAAACATACGGAATATGTGAGCACGAATTGGATTATTAATTGACCAATGTTCTGACTTTACGTTAAGCATATCATCAGAGGACACGGTACTTGAACTAAAAGGTGGGCTTCTTAAAAAAACCCAGCTGGAATTCGTGACCATGGTTACTACGCACCAACAAGTTAACATGTGTAGCAGCAGCGAGTAATTTTTATTCAACGTTTAGGATTTCTTTGTCATTATCCATGCATCTCCATCATCATCACCACTCCAGGTACCGGTAGACGTTGTATTCTTCGTGGAAAGAATCTTATGCCCTGAAAATTCGTGGGGGGATGACTCATCCCCCCACAATCTTCCTAAATGACTGTTCTCATCATGAGAACAGTCATTTAAGGCTCCAACAGTGCCTGACGCAGCCATTTAACCCGTCACCGTACTCGGCATGGGTAAATCCAACTCACATCTGTACAACATCGTCATGTAAGTGTGCTGATAATTATATTACAAGTGAACATTAAGTTGAACATTAAATGGCTGTATTTTCATAGTGCATATTTTATAGAGACAGTGTTGAGGTTTCATATGTACAGCCCATGACCAAGCTAAGTAAGATACATTTACCAGTTGGAATGATAGTTAATATGTTTCCACAAGTCGCGAATTATTAAATGGACTGTTACTTTGCTAGACGAAAGCAGGTAAGAATGTTCTATTGCGCCATTTTCTCCCGTAGAAAAGTTTCCAAGGGCATTGTGCTGTACGCGGTGAACTTCCTGTCGTGATTCAGCTATGAGTTTGATGTGTTTAAAATAAATACACGTGGTAGATATTAAAAAAAAAAAAAAAAAGATTAAATAAATTCTTAGGAAAAATTATACAGACCCCTGGCTACTGTGTGCGAGGTAAGTCGCTATAGGTATTTAAACATACAAATATAGAAATAAAATTCCAGTTAGCCAATATCAGATGCTGTACAGGGTATATCCATAGAAAGGTATGACGTCATTTCTGGTCATGCAGCGAACGCTGCCATGACATTAATGGGGGATTTTTAGTATGTAGGGTAACATTAGGAGAATCTATCGGCGAAGTTTCATCTCCCGCGTTTTTTCAGACCGTACTTCTTAAATTTACTGCCATATACCAGAAGCCAGCTTAGACTTCAAGGAGAAATTTATGGTAAATAAATTTACGCAGTAGATATTTTTCAGTGACCGGTTAAGTTCCTACTAACGTTATTTTACCGTGAGAGGCGTTCTGATTGCCTAATCAAATCAAAACGACACCCCACAGAACCTATTAGAACCTTACCCAACCTAACCTCACCTACCTAACCTACCTAACTTCCTAACCTGTGTATTGTCGTTTCTATTTTCC